GGGGCACTTTCAAAATTTAATTTATTAATTGAATTAAACAAATTCATGTCGATCGTCATTTTACAATGATTACAATATAAATGTAAGTACCACTAGACTGTTGCAAAGAATGTCTTAGCCAGTTATGTCTACCAATCACACACAATGCTAAAAATAGGCAATGAACTTCTTCCACATACAACAGTAAAAGGTTTATACTTCAGTTAGAACATTCATTTCCCCAAAGTGACTGGATGGGACTGAGGACAAGGAAATCCATGATGTTCAGTAGGTAAACCACTTATGGTTTGCTCAGGCAGCTTCTCATGTGAACCCCTCAATAAGATTCTCAATCACTTATTTTCTATATAAATGTATCCTGAGAGGCATACATGATGCTGATGTAAACAGATTTTTTTTGATACGCACAAAAACAAACATACCAAAACCTCCAGCGAGACACATTTTCCCCAACAGCAAAGTAGACATAAGGAACAAATTGCCAGGAAAAGCACTCAAAGTCAATGAAATCCTTCAAAAAAAAAGCAGGATAAATATTTGGTTAGGAATATGATTCAATATTAAAGGGGTAATTATAGATGGAAATAATCAAATACCCACATGCCATGATGGCGCTTGTGGGTTCTGCACCACAAAAGGATATGTGAAAGTCTTTCAGAGGTAGCACTCATCGTAGAGATATTCATTAAATTTGCTTCTAAGGATTAGAGATAATGTATATCTTCCACTTAGGAAATTGCATACATGGAGTCGGGTCTAGGATTGGATAGATTATCAAATCCTCATTTCTTGTTCCACACCGTTATCCTCAAATAATACATCAATTAACTTGAGGTTTTTTTTTAAAAAAGAACCGGATTTAATATCTAGGTTCTTTCTCTAAAAAGGTCATTCAAAATATTGAACGCTTTTATGTGAGGTTTCAAGGGAAAATTACCATTGCAATGCCCCTAATCATCCATTACATTTATGAAATATAAGCGAATCATAATATTTACCTACAAGAACGTAGCTGTACATACTGTTTCTGTATTATCATTAACTTACAATGATTTCTTATATAATATAATAAATCTTAATACAGACGAGCACCAGACCTCCATGTTATCCTTACTACTATTTGAGATCAATATTTTTTGAGCAACTTGCTCAAAAACGTGCTCTTACTATAGTAAGAGAACTTGCTCATCAGTCATTACCAGTTTGACCTCAGATTGCCAAAAAATGTAAACTCAATTTAAGAAAAAGTTTAACATGCTGAAGCTGAAAAACAAATTCCGAAATTAACTCAGATATGATGAGTAGCTAAATTATTGTAACTGTCTTTTTTCATTTATCAAAATCTAGCCCAATACTTTTTTTCTCCAACAGTAATTTTAGCAATTTCTTTACCAATTTCTTTCTTCCTCCTGGTTTATATTTTAGAAATTGGACCTTGCAAAATAAAATTGATCCTCAGACGAAACCCACCTCCAAAAGGTCAATTTTCATCCAATCAATTCAATGCCAGAAGCGTAAAGATTGATGTAGTCAAATAACAGATGTGACTAAGTTCTATATTTGATGGAACATCAAACCAGCAAGGTACGCTGCTGGATAAATAAACACCAAGCCCTGAAGTCTGTCTGATCAGCCCAGACAAATTGACTCAGCATGTTAAGTGTTAATTGGACGGATTCTTGTGACTTTATAATCCATAGTATTCACTCTCATCGATTGTGCTGCGGCCTCATGCCAGGAGATTCCACTTTATTTCTCAAAGCCACCTCTTTCCATTCCTCCCCCTCTCATAAAAACAGTATATTTATAAAAAAAATCTCAAAATTCAATCGATCCCTCAACAGTTCTGATTTGAAGGATCTACACAACAATTAGCATTAAAGCACCTTTCACATTGGGAAACATTGCAAGGCTGCAGCAAACCTGACCATTTTCTTTGGGGGTGGAGGGGGGGGGGCGGGGGGAGAGAGGAGGAAAGAAGAGGTGGCCAAAAGTACAGTCAACGATTTTTAAAAAATATTCTAATAAACGTGGAATTTTACTACATTTATTCTGAGGCTGAAAGTGCTCCAAGGATTATTTCTGTTAGGAAGACTCCGGAGGCTACTTGGTTCTAGGTTCAGATAAGAATAGCCCATAAATTAGTGCACAATACTTGCAGTCTATTTTGGTGGCACTGCCAGAACATATTTTAAAGATAAATTGCTTCAATGAGTCACTTTGCTGACATGTACAACAACAGTTCTAAACTTGCATTAATATGCATTAAAACAGTTTCCTAACAGAAACACTAAAGAGAATAAAACACATGTTGAACTTAGTTTTGCATAAAATAATATTCCTGCATGTTGGATATCACTTTGTGTAAGATTATAACATTTGGATTCTAGAATCGCACATCTAATCCAGCTAATTAGTTTTCCGAACAAGTTCCCAAAATACTGGTCAAAATCAACTTTAACTCAAAACATTGATAAAACGACATTATGCTTGTTAAGCTAACACTGTATGAATAGAGGCTGAAAATGATTCAAAGATGTTTTGTAATCCAAAATACAGTACATTGATGTCAAGGAGGATAAACTGAGTACTCATCATCATTGTTCAAATGAAGTACCTTGTAAAAATGTCCACCTGGAGTGTGGGATGCAAATCACTGGTATATTCATCTCTTTGGATGATGCAAAATAAACCCAAAAAGTTTTCCTGTTCAGCAATTACAGCATCCCCAAGCCATCATTTTTTAGTTCTTTTTAGCTGCTACAAACACCAAGAAGAGGTTACAAATTGGGTCCAGATGAATTAATACCCAAAACCCTCATCCACACCTTTGTCACCTCCAGACTCAAATTTTCCAATATCCTGCTCTCCAGATCACAAGCTTCAGACCACGCAGAATTTCACTGTGTAAGTGGAAATTGCTGTTGGTTTTGTTGTAATTAAATTCCACCTTTTTGTAATTAAATTTATTAAGTGAGGATGTGAAAACTAGCTGCAGATGAGTGGGTAGGTAACATCTTTTGCCAATGGCAACCTGAACTATTCTCTAAAATCCAGTTCACTGACAAAATATATATAATTCAGGCAACCGAGTTTGATCAATCAAGATTAAGCCTCTCACTTGTGCTACTCAAGTCTTATAGTTACCTTGTTTGTCCTCATTACGTAGATTTTGTAATATTAAGTCTTGGCTGTTCACTGTCCCACAATGAGCAATACAATTCTCAGGATTGTAACATTGATGAAACTATCCAAAAGTTGAGAAACGGAAAGCAACAACATTTATTTCTTGATTCTCTCATGGTTTTATTAGATAATGCAAAACCCCTCTAACATATTTGTTTTACAATGCAGACTGGCTCCTTTGATTAAATTCAAAGGACTTGTCCACCTATTAAAAAAATGCAATTTCCAGAAGGAAATCAATGTTGCAGATCACCTGGAAGCTAAAGACAGCTAATCACTCAGGCACAAAAATATTCCCCATTTCAAAACAACTGTATTTTCTTCAGAGGGCAGTTCATTTTTTATTGCAAGCTGAAATTCAGGAATAAAAATAAAAAACAAATATCTTGTCAAGTTCGGTAAAGGCTGTACATCAACAATGATGCTTATAGCTATTTATTTTACCTAAAATTCATAAAACCATAACGAAGATATGGATTGAACACTTGGCTTCTTATTTAACATTTAAATCGACTAAAAGCTTCAGTCTCCTCAAACATCTGCTTATTCTACACATCAGTTAAAGTAGTTGGCAATGTTCCGCTTCAATTACCTCCATAAAATCTCAACAAGATTTTAGCTTAATCCTTTTCCACATGACTTAAGCGCATTAACTTTCTAACTACATTTGATTAAACCTCTGTAACTATTTTCAGCTCACTTTTAACTTACTAAAATAAATTATTAGATGTTCAAATCACATATTTCCTCTTATTTTTGACAGAGTAAGAACGAAAGGCAATAAAATTAAAACAACTACTGCAGAAGAGATGGAAATAATACCTATTCACAACACTTGTTTACCCAAATAAAACCACAAGGCAGCCACTGAACATTTAAATACCAATACTTCTAGTGGTAATATTTAAACAAAAGGTGAATTTTGTTGTACATTGCTGCTGACAAATACAAGGTTGCAAGTATTACCACACCTGTTATATAGGTGTAAGAAAATGCTGTGAATTGCAATAATTTTCAGACTTTAATTGTTACTGATACCAAATTGTTGACTAAAATAAAGGAACAACATTCCTTCTGATGCAGATTTTACAAATGAAATTAAAGTACTTGTAAAAAGGATTAGGTTTGAAGATTGCCATTTCAAGGACAACGTGACATTATTCCAAGAAGATACATAAACAAGGAGAGCAGCTTTACAAAGGAGTAATTAACAGACAATTGTGCCATTACGTTTCTCCTGTCAAGGGGCTAGGACAGTGCAGCCGCTAGGATATTTTCCAAATGGTACAGGACATTGGTGTATGCTTGCAATTCATTATATGGATCAACACCTGACCTGGCACAGTATCCAAGCAGACACACTGCAGTACCTCAGTCAGAAGCAGAGAAGGTAGGGAGGAAACTAAAAATATCAAATGGCAAGTGGCGCTGAGTTGCTCTCATGGGCCCCCTGGTGCACAGCATCTGCAAAGGCCTCAAACTGAGTCTCTCAAGCAGGAAAGTAGAAAATGTAATGATGGGGTGAAAAATTACAAAATGGAGGATGGGACAAGGAAACCATAGGAGCTCATATAACTATAGAAACATTAGTAAGCAGCGATTGTTAAATAAAAAGCAGAAATGGTTTGTGTGAAATTTCAGCGCAAATTTTAATACAATTGCCGCACTGGGGAAGTTGCTGCAAGAAGCATATTTGTATTTATTGAACTGCTTTGATGACTTCCTCTGATCACATGGATAAGCATAATTTTATCTGGACCCTTATGTACAACAATATGTGGCTGTACCGAAATTTGAATTGCTAAACCACTAACCGCAGTGCCAATGTGTAGGTACCAGACTGGCGTTGACTTTCACGAATAATGTAACTTCCTTCCGCTACACTAAGCAGTTGATCCGCTTCTTCTCGCGAAATTATTCCATGGAACCTGTGTATAAAAAGAAGATTTTTATTAAAAAAAAAGTTCCTAGAAAATGCTAAAATTACCTGGAACCAATACGTTGAATTTCTGTACATTTATCCACCACCTACGACAAATTAAGTCCAATTGGGGTAGCAATAAAGAAAAGTTAAGAACTTTCACTGAAACTTAGTTTCATTTAATTTTATCTTACTAAGTTTAAGTGCGTCAAAGGGCTTCACACAATGATTAATACTGATTGTTATGCAGGCAAAACACATCTTGAATTTGCACCAGCAACATTCCACAAATCACATCAAACAGAATCCAGTTACACCTAATCCAAAGCACATAACCTCCAATGGTGCGGCAGTCCTTCTGTACTACATTACAATGACAGTTCAGATAAGCAGTTCAAGTCATATGGGCTTCAAAACCACTTGTTTGTAACTCAGTGTTACCAAGTAAGACAAAAAAAAATCTTGCATGATCTTCCATTCAGCTGGGTTATGAATAAGATCTCAAACTCATTTTAGATCATTTCAGTTGATGTAACTGCAGATTATACAAAAAGGAATAATTTTCAAACAGGAAAACTGCACATATGCACAATCAATTTAAAAAAAACTGGAAGATCACACCAAAAACGCCATATTTATTTGCTTTCTCATCCGTACGATAATACCAATCCATTAGCAAACTAGTGAAAGCAGGCAACTCTACGATTTTATTCAAAGACTGAAATTTTGAAAGAACTATAATACATAATAAGTAATAAGGCATCTTTCTCAAGATGATGGTTACAAATGGGAATGTTCAAATAAAATACTGAGGCAGTGCCACAGATAACAATCAAAGCTGAAATTTGAACCTGGCTTATGAAACAGACAACATTTGAGTAAATAGAGGTTTTACTTTGCCTGGAGGATCCTGAATAGTTAATTTCTAACATAACATCTAATCTTCCAGACATCTCTCATGATCTTGGGTTTTAGAGGATTAATCCAAGTGGTCTTTTCTTTCATTGAGGAACAGCAGGCTGAACTAACTGTCAGATGAAATCTGAAGGAATTGCAGATAAGATTCTAACTGAATAAAGATTGCAAAAGACAAGACTGTTGGGATATCACAAAATATTGCATTAATCTGACTGAACAAGAACAAATTGCTTTCATTTTGCATCAAAAGCAAATCTTTTCCCCAATGCTAAAATGGTGCATCTCTTAGGTACTACTTGGAAATTGAGCTAATTTATGTTCTAATTGCAATGATGCATCTTCTTCGGATTGAGAATCCCAAGAGATTGGTACCTTAGCCTTTTAGGGAGGCACCAATTAGTCACCACCAGCTGTAAAGTGAGAGGTACCTGGAACCAATCCACTTGAACATTATCTTCTTAAAACTGCGCAGTTAAATCAAAGTCAAGCCTCCTTTCTAGAACCACAAAAAACAGTAGCCACCATCACTCCTAAGGACTTTAGTGTACTGGTGCAATACTAAATCCCAGGTATTCACAAAGTGACCAACTTGCCCAAAGACACTTGCTCCTACTATGATTTTTCTTGATGATTGAGTCCTAAGAGATCACGACCGAATGAATGGCTGTCTTTAAAAACTGAATGGTTCCTTGGATAAGTTAATTATCTAAATAATCATGGAGGATCTGCAGATTCAAGAATGCCAGTAATGGCAAGTACTTTGTTTTAGAGCTTTTTTCCTTTGGAAACGAGACGAGTGAGAGAGGATTTGATAAGCATGCTTATAATTATGAAAGGGCCGATAAAGTGGAAATAAATAGGTTGGTTGTACTTGTTGATGAGTCTATAACAAGATGGTATAAATATTAAAATAGCCACCAACGGGCCTGAAAGAGATTAGAAGGAACTTTTACACAGAGGGTGGTAGAAGATAGAACTCTCTGCCAGAAGTTGTGATTGAAGCAGAAAGCATCAATGCACTTAAGAGCAAACTCGATATAGGCATGAGGAAAGAAGGAATAGATGGATATAGGAAGAGGATAGGGAAATGGGCTTAGGATGGATGGAAGCTCATGCGGAGTACTATGAACACCAGAAGGCTCTAGTTAGGCCAAATGGCCTGTTGAAGTGCTCAGAACGAAAGCAGGGTACTTAAAAGAGATATTTTGGAAAATGTTAACCACCTTAAAAGTTGGTATTTATAGTTTTCAGCAACTTTGATATTTTTGGCATTATCTAAATGCAGTGAATCTTTCAAGAAACTTCCTCAAAGGAGAAATTACAGCAAAGAGTAACACACAGCAAATTCTGTCTCAAGCATAAATGTTTTTTTACATATCCATTTTCTGGCTATAATCCTTGCCTACAACTCCTCGGGGACCGGACATTTCAAGTTAACAACATTGTTCAGCTGACATCAGTCATAAAGTCAATCAATGAGCACCTACATTGAAACAGTGGTGACTCATATCCTTTGTATTTTGGGATGTGTTAGCCTTTGAGTAACTGAGTATCAGCAATGTTTGAAGCAGAGGCATAGATACTTTAGCCGCAAAATATTTTCTCCTTCCCAGCAATTACACGTTACTTCACAGTAATTACAGAGCTTATTATAAGCTGTATAAGTATTATCAAGTAGTGAAACCTTTTTTGACTGGTTAAAAAAAATTAGTGGCAGTTGAATCAATTCTTCAGGATTACATCAAATACTTGCTTTTATTCCCCCTGCTCCATATTGTAACATGCTATAGAAAATATAGTACAATAAAAATTTGAACTATACTCACTCTCTTCCATAGTACTTGGGTCTATTCTCCACCTGCAATTAAAACAAAATATTTCTGAATATTAACCATATTTAGTTGCCGTTTACTAATTACTGGCATAAGTCACAATTCAGAGATCCATCAACAAAGTTAAAAAAACAAAACACTGGTTGTTTTCACATCTTTATGCAGTTACAAGTTTATAGACTTGTATAATACAATACAAATTTATATATATTCACATTAGGATTGTCTACCACTGTATCAACATTCATAATCTTAGTAGAATGTCTACCCTGAAGGAGTTTAGAATATTTGACATAAAAAATTAAATAGATTATATTCAAACGTAGTCAAGAATTTTGAGAGATTGCAACCTTTATAATATCATACTATTTAGACATTATTGCTGAAAGGTGCGGATTTAAACAGTGCCCCAGAATAATAGTGTAATGAAATTCTGTACCACTGAGGGGCAGGATGTAAATGACAGCCTGAGATTGCAGAATTGCACTAACGTAGGGAAAAGACAAAAGCCCTCACCCACTATCCAAGCACAAAGTAACATACTATGCTGTTCTCATTGACTCTAAATGAGTGGCTCAAAAGTGGGATTGTCGGAGGCCAAACAGCAGGCTGCTTTTCCTGCAATCTTGGCCCAGGATTCGCGTGACGTTAGGAATCCTAATGAGGCAGATAAATTCAAATGGGGATGGGGAAAGGGGAGAAAGATGAAAGGGAATACATTTTATATTCCTATTTTTAATCTGATTAATAGGTATGGGGGGAAGAGGGAGAAATTAGTTAATATATATTTAAGAATGTAATGAATACAAAATCAGATGCTAGATGTACTTGGAAAAAGGAACAATAATATGCAAGTGGTGGTCATGGTAACCATTTTACAAATAGGAAAACAAGTTGTGAGCGCATGGAAAACACATTTATAAATCCGATGGCCACAGAGCATTACAAAAATAAAAATTACATAAGCTTTTAAATCCGTGCAGCCACATTTCAGAATTAACATTTCAAAGCACTTGCCTGAGCTATGTATACAATTTTTTTTCTTTTACTGTGAAATTCAATTAATTGAATATCCGATCATTGAATAGTTTGATTTATTGAATAGAATTTAAAGCTTCGGAAGATGAGTCTCTTATTATGTTTAGTCCAGTTATATGAATAGTTTGGTTTATTGAATAATTTTCGCTGTAAAATTAAGTGTTAATTTAACAGAATTTCACTGTATAATGTACATTATATAACTACAATGTATTTAAATGGATATACACCAAGATGTAGTAGTTTGAAAGGATAATGTGCATTGATCGAATTAACACAAATATCTAATGCTGTTGGAACGAGTGTTTCCTGATGATAAATTGAATTTCCAGAAACATTTAAAAGACGAGCCCAGTTGCAAGATTTCAGTCACTGCATAAATAAAATATATTTCTTATTTACAGAATATCCACAGTACTCATTGATATAATTCAAGTAAAAACAACCCTGCATGATACTTAATCCTGTCTTAATTAAATGAGAAAGCAAACAGCAGGGACTTGACTGCTTGCGGCAATGAAAATATACCTGTCAAATTAATAAAGGATTAACATTTCAGTAGCTTCATTACAATTAGAATCCCAGTAGCGATTTATCTGTAGGGTTCCTTACTCTATAAGATAAAGCATTGAGAATAAATGTGAGTGCGAATTCGAGGAAATCATTGTACGGTTAAAAGCCACTTTTACTGCAATAATCCTTGCAACATGTCAGGGTGTAAGCCATCAAAGCAGTTGACAGTTCAACCCTTACCTGAGGATATCTTTGAACTATACTATACGGATGTTTTATTCGTATTCCTCTACATTATTGTGATGTAAAAAAGCTTCATAATATCAATTAAAATAATATCTGATGGCATACTCCTGGCAATCTTTACAGCTCTGTTTTTCAGAACTGATTTGGACAGCAGGATATAACTGAATAACCTACAATTGATAGCAGTATGTATTTGACAGAACACTTTAATTTTCTTTCCCTTGAAGATATTGATTCATGATGGGGTACAGATCCATGGCCAGAATCCTCTGTTACCTCACCAAATAGTCACTCCACATCTGTAGCCCATAACAGCATCATAGATGGACTTGAACCTGCTCTCTCACCCGACAATCATATTCATGCATGCTTGATTAAAATAGCAAGATGACTGACTTAGTTTGAACCTTAGAACATAAAAATGCTCATCTTTCTGAATGTTGCTTTGTTTTGGATTTCCCACTGTGTGATATGCTGGAACTATAACAAAAGTCGCATTTAGATGTATAATGTACTGAATTATAATAATAAATGGTCATTCTTGCACTTTGATAGAGGATAGTTCATGTGGGAGGATGTTTCAAAGCATTTCACAGAATTTACTGTAAAGGGTGCTGACTATGTACTTTGCAGGCAAATGCGGTATCCCACAAACAGCCACAAAGTGAATGATTCAGTCAACAAAACTGTGTTAGAACGACTAGGTTGTACTACCAGGATCAAGCATTCCATATCAGATCAATCCAAAGTTTCAGAGTGAAGCTCTTTGGACTGTGCTCAAACAACAATACAAATACATAGTATATCCTGTGAGACATTTTGGTACATCCTCCCAACGTGAAAGGCACTTTACCAAATGCAAGGATTATTATTTTAAAACACTCAACTTCATAAAGGCACCCCCTTAAACTGCAGGAGTAATTTTTTCCACTTCCTGCCAACCAACTAGACAAATCCCTTTTCAGGTTTCTAGTTCAATGCTAATCTCCAGTATATGCGTTGAAATTCATCCTGAATTCTTCACGTAAGACATTATTGCAGGCAGATGGGAAGCAGGCAAGTGGACTGGATAAGACCCAGATCACACAGTGTGCAACAAAGTTTGTTATCTTTGAAATCTGAAGAGTGATTTGAAAGAATATTAGACAATGTTTGTAAATCTACTGACATTTGGATAACATGAAACTAACCTCACAAGTGCATGTAATCCTCCTTGGATGAGGAGCTTCCTGCTGTAACTGATACACTACAACGTGAAAACAGGCAAGAATTATAAAAACATACGGCACAAAATTAATAATGGTTGCTCATAAAGGAACACAACTTTACCTCACCAATATAACAAGAATTTTTTATAAAATAAAATTTGCAAAACTTATAGATTACAATAGAGGTTTACAGGTTTATTTAATCTCTGTACAGGGTGCAATGTACAATACACTGGACCACCAATATAATTTAGGATAGTAAATGCAAATTTAGCAGACAGACCGTCACATACTCTCACCTTCTGCTTCAATTCACTCCTGAATAAATTACACAATTTCAACTGATGGAAAAGCCAAAATATAGGTATGATTTTTAGTCTCCAATGGACATTGTAGAATATAATACAAGCTTTATTTGTTATTCAGACAGTTTTTTCCCCTCTTACAAATGATAGAACATCTCATTAATTCACTTTGAGACCTGGCTCAAAGAGAACAGAACTCAGCCAAAAGAAACAATTGAGTGCCAATGAAAAGCAGCTTTGTAACTTGAACTTGTAACCTCCTCATTGGGACTCAAGTATTTTACTGCCACAGCTAATGTGTCTCCAAGAAAATGATTTCTCAGATCTTCATTAGATGTAGCTGTATACAAAAACACTTCAAGCAGCTCATTGGTATTTTATTAGATGCTTCTGCAATATATTAGTTAAAAACACAATTTTAAATGCTGGTCCAACATAATAAATTTATATACCCAAATTATTCCACCCAAAATATAGCTGCATAGATAGTAAAAGAATGGTTGGGTTTGGTGTTCTAAAATGCATATTTGAGATGAAGTATAGTCCCTTAAAGTACAATTAATCTGGTTTATGCAATTTTGCAAGAGAAGATTACAATTCAGAAATTAATTAGTTTAGTGCTTGTATAAATGTGCACAAAAAAACATGTTTTCTAAAGATCGATTTTCAAATGTAAATATCAAATTTTGTACTTACAGTAGGATTTCCATACCGGAGGCTTATATTCATCATTTTCTGTGTACGAGGAAAAACAGTAAAAATTAGCAGTAAAGAAACAAACATTTTCTTAAAGGAATATTAGCCCTGGTGACTTTTCCCTGAGGAATTACAGCAATTTCTAATTCAACACAGAGACAGAATGAATGAGATAAAATACATCATACACCATTTCTTATCTTCTTGAATTTGTGAGCGCAATTTCCTTCCATGTCCCACTTGGTAATCTATTCCACAGTCACACCTCTCTGTAGTGTAAAATAGTTAGATCTAAACTGTCCACAAATTATCTTCAAAGCTCCAGCATGTCTTTCTTGTTTTATTATTATTATTAATAATAATATTATGGAGTCCTGTAGCTCAGTGGTTAGAGCACTTGCTTTGCAAGCAAGACACCTGGGTTCAATTCCAGGCAGGGCGAAACCTTGGGCAAGTTTCCTTACTCCACACGCCTAATAATAATCCCTCCAAAAACCCCCAAAACAATAATAAATTGGTCATTTTCAATCTACGACTGTTTGTGGGACATTGCTGTGCGCAATTGGCTGCCGCGTTCGCCCACAAATATACAGTCAATTCACTTTACAGTATATTCTGTGAAGCGCTTTGGGACGTCCTCCCGACGTGAAAAGCGCTATATCAAATGCAAGGATTATTATTATTATTATTATTATTATTATTATTATTATTATTACAGAAGTGGATAACGTTCACCGGAAAAGAAAAAGCTCAAAGAATTTAAAATATATTCAGCATCTGTAAGAGTACAGATAAATATAAGGATTCAGTTTAACAGTCAAAACATCTACAGCAAGAGGGGGACAAGGACACTGGGAGAAACATCTTTCTCTTTTAGTATAGTTTCATGGGATTTTTAATGTTCACCAAAGGACAGGTGGCCGAGACAGTTCTGTCATCACTTCAAAATATCTAGGTGTAGGACACGTTACAGAACAGGTACAGACTATCCTCATTATGCATTACTTTTTCAAGACCTCAGAAAGAAAATGTAACTTACTTTAAAGATGATAAAATATTCCCTCAGTCGCAACTAAAGAAATGACAGATCCCAATAAAAGATGCAAGACACAAGCTGGAGAATTGTACTAGAAACTTCACTTTCAATATATAGGTATTCTATATCAACAACTATAGTTACATAGGCACCAACAGTGGAATTAAAAATGAAATGTTAATTAATTGACAACGTTTAGTTGACTTCCAAGGTGCAACCAATAAGAACAATCTCAGCAGCACTTGATTTACTCTGTGTAAGTTTTCTCATTGAGCAATTGGAGAGCTCAACATTGCACTGACAAAAATTTAATATTGCCCGGGTGACTTCAATGACAGAACTTTATGTTGTCAGACTAGATTAACCAAAATAGCAATTTTCGGAAACACAAGTTTTCAAAAAAAAAGCCCAAATTTAAGTCTTCAGTTATTGAAACTTAAAACTAACATTTAAAAAGTTAACAAAATGATCAAGTACCATTATTGATTGATGCTTACCCTTGGTTCTTCCAACATCTCTTTCTTTTACCTTTTACAAGCTTTCTCTATATAACAGATGCACTAAAAGGGATCAGCCAAACCAATAAAAACGAAATGTCTTGCCATCACAAGCTGTTGAGGAAAATGTTATTCATGGGGCTCAGCAAAGATTTTATGTTGAAAGTTGACTAATGGGTAACTAGGTTAGTAACTGTCAGCATGTCCATTAAAGAATTTAAGAATAAAACAGAAAAATAGAATGTGTTGTTTTTTTAAAAAAAATGTTATGGAAAACAAGATTTATTTCTAAACAGTTATGCAGCTCTGATTGTCATCCCTTTGACTATTTTTAACATGCTTTTTTTCCTTGACTTAAATCTGCTGAACTCATAAATATGCCAACTTGGTAAATTCTGCATGATAACAAGTCATCAATCAAATTGCCTTTCAGGTAATTTAGAGACACCAAACTTCTTAACTGAAGAATGATTAGTATGCAAATTTATTCCACTTAGCCTCAATAGCGTATAAATAAATTGATCTACTTCAGCACTAAATTTCTTTGGAAGAATGAGAATAAAAGTTCACAAGGGAGGCTTGGATGAAGAACACATTGGCCCACATGATTTCACCCATTACAGAATTATGAAATTTCTTAAAGTAATCAAACTGCTGTTTCTTATGTTCTTCAGTGGAATTTCTTATGTTCTTCAGTGGAATATTAAATGACTTTAAAGACAAATTATTCATAATTTTCATCCAATCAAGGATGTGCGCACACATTCTAAGTGTGATAAAAGGTTAGCAGTCTTCTCTTAAATGCAAGTAAGCATAAAACATGGTGTCAGGAACAGGAGTATAGTGGGCTTTTGATTCTATCAATCAGCTTTGTTAAAGTTTCAATCAACTCACTTATACAATGGCTTATACATGATACAAGAGGTTCACTTTCTTGTAATGCAGAGCACAGATTCAAAATATTCAATTTTAACACAAAATTGTTTAGACTCAATGCAAACATTTACATTGCAGGTTCTAAATTAGCTCGTTTATCCTCCATTTTTTTTCCCCAATTTGTCCATGTTTGAAAAGACTATTTAAAGGAAACCACTGAACTCAGCCTTGGAAAAATGTAGGGTAGCACTATTTACTGAATTATGTTCTTTTGATATAAATTTACATGAACGTTAACCACAATTACTTACAATTATAAGGAAACTAATGTACAACATAGCCCTGTGTCTCTGTAACGGTTTCAGAACGAAGCACAATATTTAACTACAGTACAAATATTTGCCAAAGGAAAGAAGCTCCATCTTGTGGACAGCAATTAGATTACATTTTTCTAATTGATCAATTTCTATTAGTCAATTAGAGATGAATTTCTTTTTTAAAAGAAAAAGATAAAGCAGAAATAGGATCAACATTTTATAATTTTGCTTAATTGCTTTATTAAAAATATGGAAATTCACAAGTATTCCATTTAACCACGAAACATAATCACTCCACATTACAGTATGTCCTGTGAAATGCTTTGGGACATCCTTCTGACATGAAAAGGTCCTATATCAAATGTAAGGATTATTATTATACTAGGTAATTGCCACCTAAACAGCCTTAATTTTAAAAGTACTCAGCAAACTGGTAGACAATACATATTTTGTGAAGCGTTTTGAGACGTCTCAAAGATGTGATAAGATGCTATATCAAATGCAAGAATTATTACTATTAATATCATTGAACAGATGTAGAACAGTCTACAAAACTTAAAAAACAGTGGGGCGATAACAATATCAATAAAGTTTTTGTTTTTCTAAAAGCTATGATTCTATGGAAGCATTTCAGAATATTATCAATTGGTGACAAGCAAACTAAATATATTTCCGGTCTTAAAAGACTGCAAATTAAGGAGAATTCTTACACATCAAAATTGAACCAAGTTATTGCTTGATATTATTAAAATGCAAGTAGAAATGAGACCTAGAGAGGGAAACAAATATATATGAAAACCTAAATAACTCTAGAACTTTGTCGAGGTGGAAAAAGAACTCAAAAATCGTGTAGCCAGGCAACTTGTCTGGATAGAAAAGGGCTACGAAAAGGGATCAATCTTGATTTGTTAACTGAACAATTTGCAAAATGCAAGACAAATACAAATTCATGTTCCTGACGGCGAAATTAACAATTAGCTCCAAAACAGATCTACTGAGACAAGGCAAAATCTCCAAGTTACCACATAAGAACAACTTCCTTATCTTTAGCACCTATGAACACAAAAACATTGCAGACATCTTGATAATTAATGATAATTTCTGTCCTGTATGGTAAACATTTTTTCTAGTCAAATATGAAGGCCATTTATACATAGTAAAGTCCACAAATGGGTGAGAGACTAAATCTGGAGGAAAACTGGTCAGGACAACAGAGAATCTTTTCCAATATGTTATGCGATGTTAACATTCACCTAAACTGGTAGGCAGGGTCTCAGTTTATCCATAGAATCATAGCTTTTATCGTTTCTACCAATAGATGACACCTCTGACAATATTGGACTCTCCTCATAATACACATACTGTAGTGTCACACTGGATTTACATAGATCTTGAATCTATAATCTTCTGACCCAGAAGCAAATGTGCTATCAACTAAGTCAGACTGAAACCTAGCAAAATAAATAACAATGAAATTAGACTCAAATTACGTGGATCTTTTGTGTAGCTGGTCTGAGATGTCAAGCAGTCAATCAATGTGGATCAGTATAAAATACTGCAATTAGTGTGAGAGCAAGAAACCAAATAGGGAATATGAGCTAAATGAACTGTTGCATATCATGCTGATCAGGAAAGACAGCTAAGGGTTTTCTTGCATAGATCAATGAAATCATCAGCCTAGTGCTTTGCAGCAGTATAAAAAACACCAAGTAAGTTATGAGCACCATTAATTTCCAGCTATACCACATTGTTATCCTTTGAATGAAGCCAACACTGTCATTTCACCCAAAGCTTTCTGCCTGAAATAAATTGAGTTGGACATCATTTGGAGATGACTACAATATCAAGGATCTTTTTCAACTGTAAACCAAAGTAGTGTTGACTATCATGTTATTATATTCCTTCTTTATCACCTTTTATTTTCTTTCTAATTATACTTTAGATCCTGACCACAGATAGAAGCAAACAAGAAAGAAAAAAAACACCCATTATGTGAAGTCTATTGGTGTACAGATTTCAAAACAAGACCAGACACATTTAAATATATTTTATGAAATAAGATTGTGTCACTCGGGATAAAATGAAGGCAAAACATTTATTTGTGCCAACCACATGCATGAGCAGCAACTGCAAAACAGCAATGTACAATTTCCTGAATTTGGATGGAAAAAACTATTTTCGTCAACATATATGCTATCTTGGATAAATATAAAATAATTTACCTATGCTGCTATAAGGATGAATGTGCTCATTTGTCTTTACCTAAATCAGAGCTCAAATACCACAATTCTAGGAATTAAATAGATATATCTCTCATAGTGCCTTCATAATAATAATAATAATCCTTGCATTTGATATAGCGCTTTTCACGTCGGGAGGACGTCCCAAAGCGCTTCACAGAACACACTGTAAAGTGAATTAACTGTATATTTGTGGGCGAACGCGGCAGCCAATTGCGCACAGCAATGTCCCACAAACAGTCGTAGATTGAAAATGACCAATTTATTATTGTTTTGGCTTTTTTTTGGAGGGATTATAATGAACACTTGAAAAGCCATAACTTGCCTAGCTTCTTGAATAGAAAGGAGGATTCATCAGTTCCACTGGCAATCTTCCTGCCTGTTATACGCACCTTTGGAACTTTACTCATGAACCATTCATTTGCCATTGTCTTCAACATTTCCAAAGTCTCTGATAGGGTCTGCAACAATGCAAATGTAAAGAAGTTTCCATCTCATCATCTTTCATTGCTATCTGACTTCTCAAATTGTTCTATCTGTGAGTGAGCTACAGTTGATGATGGTTCATTCTTTCCATCAACTCACAAGTTTAATCTAATTAAATGGTAATAGCCATGCACTGATTGGCAACACTTCAAGTTACAGAATAAGTACAAGTGATTTTTATAAACACTGGGCAGAATTTCCACTGTGCATCCCCATCATTTTACTTGTTTAAATAATTGCATCAAAGTACTTGAAGCAATTGGTGGCCTTCCGTAAGTACCAGCAATATACACTGGAGAATTATATCTAGTCTGTTTTTTTTGTAGCTTTAGATTTTTAAAAAAGAACTCTTTTCCTTGCCTCTCCTCCTTCTCCCAAGCAAAAACAAAGTTGCCACTCAGCTTCAAAGATTATAAGAGTAAAATAACCAGTCTAAATATTATTGAATGGAATAAGTGGAGTCTTGTAGCTCAGTGGTTAGAGCACTTAGCACACAAGCGAGAGCACTGGTTTCGATTCCCAGCAGGTTGAAATCTTGGACAAGTTTACTTACTCCACAAGCTTGATAATAATCCCACAAGAAAAAAAAACCATCAAAACAATAATAATTTGGTCACTCAATCCATGACTGTTTGTGGGACACTGCTGCATGCAATTGGCTGCTGCGTTTTGCCCACAAATATACAGTCAATTCACCTTACAGTGTATTCTGTGAAGCGCTTTGAGACGTCTCGAAGACGTGATAAGGTGCGATGTCAAATGCGAGGATTATTATTATTATTATAAGAAAACATCTTTTTGAATTGTAAAACGAATGGACCAATCCCCGTCACGTTATTAGTTACAACTTTCATCTTCCTCTGGTACGGAATGTAAAACACTGACAAATAGTGATGTCCTATTGTTCTTCATTACATGCAGATTAAAACTGGATCGGGTTTCTACGACAGAAATGAATCCAGTTGCAAGATTAATATTCTAGTATGACACTAATTTAGGATGAATACACAAGGCACGAAACATGCGTGAAGTTAAATTTGAACGCTTTCCGTATTAGTAACATGACCAATGTAATGCAAAGCGGAATAGATATTTATAAACAATGTCATTGTAAAAAACAAACTATCCATAGTATTGTTGTGCTGATAATTCCTGTGTCCCTGTCAGCCAACACACACACACACACACACACACACACGCGCCCGCCCGCCCGCCCGCCCTTCCTTTAAGATTTTCTTCAGGTTTCTTTGAGCAAAGACAATGAACGGAACTGAATCCGGTTTGGGCTCGAAACCCCGTTCATATTAATATGATGATGATGATGATGATGGTGATTAATTATTATTATTCATAATTAATTATGGATGATAAAAATCCACAGATGGCCTCTCACGAATCTCATCGGTTTTTTTTGAAAAAAAAATAAAAAAAAGCAAGCTCTTAGCCCTGCAGACGAACAACCTACCTGTGACACATTCTGCCTGGAGAGGACAGGGAGGGAGGGAAGGAGGGAGGGAAGAGGGAAGAGGGAAGGAGAGATGGAGGGAGGGGAAGGTAAAGCTCACCATCATTTCAACCCCACCCCATCCCAATGCCTTTGTGTTCCAAGTTTTAACACAGCAACTTACCACCAAACACAGTTAGAGCCATTTCCATCTTTTTTTTCCTTCCTTCCTTTCCTTTCCTTTCCTTCCTTCCTTCCTTCCTCCCACTGGTCGGGGCCACTCACTGATCCACACCCTCTCTCTCTCTCTCTCCTCTCCTCTCCTCTTCTCTCTCTCGTCTTCCTCTCTTCACCATCACCAGAGCAACTCAAACCTTCATTCCTTTTTGTTCGTCTACGAAAAACGGGTTCAAGGGGTGGGAGGAGGTGGGGGGGGGAGAGTGGGGGGGGGGAGGGGGAGGGGTGGGGAGGGGTGGGGGAGAGAGTGGGGGGGGGGGAGGGGAGAGGGGGTGGGGGGGGTTTGGAATGAAATTGAATTGAGTCACTATTCAAAACTGGAATCAATTTTTGTTACATTTATTTATTTATAGATGGTTATTAGATTATTATTGTTGTTATTATTATTATTATTATTATTATTATTATTATTATGTTAAAAGACAAAAGAAAATCTCCTGAATTTGCCGACGCCTCACAAACAATAATTTAAAAAAATAACAAGAAGCGGCCAGTCCGGATGAGTATTTTATACAACTGTGTGGGGGGGGTCTGTGTGTGTGTAAGGGGGGGGGGGGGTCTGTGTGTGTGTAGGGGGGGGGTCTGTGTGTGTGGGGGGGGGGGGTCTGTGTGTGTGTAGGGGGGGGGGGGGGGGTCTGTGTGTGTGTAGGGGGGGGGTCTGTGTGTGTGTGGGGGGGGAGTCTGTGTGTGTGTAGGGGGGGGGTCTGTGTGTGTGTGTGTGGGGGGCTGTGTGTGTGGGGGGGGTCTGTGTGTGTGGGGGGGGGTCTGTGTGTGTGTAGGGGGGGGGGTCTGTGTGTGTGTGTGGGGGGGCTGTGTGTGTGGGGGGGGTCTGTGTGTGTGGGGGGGGGTCTGTGTGTGTGTAGGGGGGGGGTCTGTGTGTGTGTAGGGGGGGGGGTCTGTGTGTGTGTAGGGGGGGGGTCTGTGTGTGTGTAGGGGGGGGGTCTGTGTGTGGGGGGGGGTCTGTGTGTGTGTAGGGGGGGGGGTCTGTGTGTGTGTAGTCGGGGGGGGTCTGTGTGTGTGTAGGGGGGGGGTCTGTGTGTGTGTAGGGGGGGGGTCTGTGTGTAGTCGGGGGGGGGGGGCTGTGTGTGTGTAGGGGGGGCTGTGTGTGTGTAGGGGCTGTGTGTGTGTAGGGGCTGTGTGTGTGTAGGGGGGGGGGGTCTGTGTGTGTGTAGGGTGGTGTCTGTGTGTGTGTAGGGTGGTGTCTGTGTGTGTGTAGGGTGGTGTCTGTGTGTGTGTAGGGTGGTGTCTGTGTGTGTGTGTGGGGGGGGGGTCTGTGTGTGTGTAGGGGGGGGGGTCTGTGTGTGTGTAGTCGGGGGGGGTGTCTGTGTGTGTGTGTGTGGGGGGCTGTGTGTGTGGGGGGTGTGTCTGTGGGGGGGAGGGGGCTGTGTGTTTGGGGCTGTGTGGGGGGGTGAGGGGGCTGTGTGTGTGTGTGTGTGTGGGGGGGGGGCTGTGTGAGGGTGTGTGTGGGGGGTGAGGGGGCTGTGTGTGTGTGTGTGTGGGGGGGGTGAGGGGGCTGTGTGTGTGTGTGAGGGTGTGTGTGGGGGGTGAGGGGGCTGTGTGTGTGTGTGTGTGTGGGGGGGGGCTGTGTGAGGGTGTGTGGGGGGGGTGAGGGGGGCTGTGTGTGTGTGTGAGGGTGTGTGTGGGGGGTGAGGGGGGCTGTGTGTGTGTGTGTGTGGGGGGGGGGGGGCTGTGTGAGGGTGTGTGTGGGGGTGAGGGGGCTGTGTGTGTGTGTGAGGGTGTGTGTGGGGGGTGAGGGGGGCTGTGTGTGTGTGTGTGTGTGGGGGGGGGGCTGTGTGAGGGTGTGTGTGGGGGGTGAGGGGGCTGTGTGTGTGTGTGAGGGTGTGTGTGGGGGGGTGAGGGGGGCTGTGTGTGTGTGTGTGTGGGGGGGGGGGGCTGTGTGAGGGTGTGTGTGGGGGTGAGGGGGTGTGTGTGGGGGGGTGAGGGGGGCTGTGTGTGTGTGTGTGTGGGGGGGGGGGCTGTGTGGGGGTGTGTGTGGGGGGGTGAGGGGGCTGTGTGTGGGGGGTGAGGGGGCTGTGTGTGTGTGTGAGGGTGTGTGTGTGGGTGTGTGTGGGGGTGAGGGGGGGCTGTGTGTGGGGGGGGGGGGCTGTGTGAGGGTGTGTGGGGGGGGGGGGCTGTGTGAGGGTGTGTGTGTGGGGGTGTGTGTGTGTGTGAGAGTGTGTGTGGGGGTGTGTGTGTGGGGGAGTGTCCGCGGCTTCACCTCACGCCGCAATCTCCGGGCTCAGGGCCGCCATTTTGCTTCAGCCCCGAGACTGTCCTCATCAGCTCGAGCCCCGGGGGGGGGGGGGGGGCAGCGCCGTCACCATAGCAACCGCCCCCTCCCCTCCCCTCCCAGGACCATCACCACCATCACCACCAGCCGCCGCCCTCACACTGCTCACAGTCCTAACGGTGCAGAGCTTGTGTGTGTAGGTGTGTGTGTATATATGTGTGTATGGGGAGGTACATGTGTGTATATGTGTCTGTGTATGGGGGGGTACATGTTTATGTATGTGTCTATGTATGTGTGTATGTATGTGTCTATGTGTGTATGGGGGGGGGGTGCATGTGTATATATGTGTGTGTATATGGGGGGGTACATGTGTATATATGTGTCTATGTATGGAGGGGGTACATGTGTATATATGTGTGTGTGTATGGGGGGGGTACATGTGTATATATGTGTCTGTATGGGGAGGGTACATGTGTATATGTGTGTCTGTGTGTATGCGTGCGTGCGTGCATGTGTATATGTATGTCTGTGTGTGTGCGTGCGTGCATGTGTACATGTATGTCTGTGTGTATGCGTGCGTGCGTGCATGTGTATATGTATGTCTGTGTGTATGCGTGCGTGCGTGCATGTGTATATATGTGTGTCTGTGTATGGGAGGGTGCATGTGTATATGTATGTCTGTGTGTATGCGTGCGTGCGTGCATGTGTATATGTATGTCTGTGTGTATGCGTGCGTGCATGTGTATATGTATGTCTGTGTGTATGCGTGCGTGCGTGCATGTGTATATGTATGTCTGTGTGTATGCGTGCGTGCGTGCATGTGTATATATGTGTGTCTGTGTATGGGAGGGTGCATGTGTATATGTATGTCTGTGTGTATGCGTGCGTGCGTGCATGTGTATATGTATGTCTGTGTGTATGCGTGCGTGCGTGCATGTGTATATGTATGTCTGTGTGTATGCGTGCGTGCATGTGTATATGTGTGTCTGTGTGTATGCGTGCGTGCGTGCATGTGTATATGTGTGTGTCTCTGCATTAATAAGGCTCCTGCAAACAACCTTCAAAATGTTATTGCTTGGCCTGTTCCACGCTGATTTAGCTCTCTCTGCAGACAACCTGCCCTGCAAATCCTGCCCTGTAATTTTTATTGAAATACTTTTTTCGGGGGTGGGTGTGGGCAGCCGGGCGGGTGTCTGACCCACGCAGCAGCCCATCACCGTGCTTAAGAATTTTTCCAAACCACACAGGGAATTCCACGCATTCCCACCCGGACGTGGACGTTCCTGAGATATCTGTTGGGATGGAACGCGCGCTTTCTCCCTGGAGAGACGCGTCCTGTTTACCTAATTCTAGGCAATCCCATCTACCTGCTGTTTTTGGAAACACAGGATAAATCCCACATGAATAAGACTGTTAAAACTGTAGGGAGAACAGGAAAGAAACGCTGCTCAAGCCGCAATGCATCGTAGTATTGTTTTGCCACCGCAGTCCTCTATCCCTCGAGGCAGGAATGTGAGTGTCCTGCTTGTCAAATTGTTGCCAATACTAGATATTTGTGTGTAAAGCATCCTGAAGCTAAAGGTTCACACAAAGACTTGTTTATTCTTTCAATTTCTGTTTATGTAAATAAATTACAGTATATGAAAGAGTAAACTGATGACATCAGCAGCAAGAGACACATTGCTTTGTTAACAAAATTGTCATTTTACCCGTAAATGCACTGGAGCACCAAGGATTAATGACTCCCTTCTTCGCCTTAATTCTAACCCTAATCATCCCATTAGTTCCCAGTGATATATAAAAAAAACCTAAAGTATTGTCATGGGAATTGGTGTAGGTGAAAAATAGTGAAATCACCCAACCATTGTAATACAAAATAAAAGGTAAGTAAGTAAGGCTATGATGGCTCCAAGGTGACCTGCTTGGTAACAGAATGTCAGAATCAAGTCAGCCATCAGTAAATATATAATAATAATAATCCTTGCAATAAACAAAAGGCAAAATACTGCACATTGTTCTGACGAAAGGTCATCAACTTGAAACGTTAACTCATTTTCCTCTCTCCATAGATGCTGCTTAGCGTTCCCAGCGACTTTTATGTTATAATAACCCTTACATTTGGTACAGCGCCTTTCATGTCAGGAGGACAATTCTGTTGGCGGTCATTAGGCTGGGTTTTTGTAATTGGGCTTGAAGGAGTCAATCCAGTCACATCAGGATTGTCTTAATGTCTCCAGCTTTGTTCACCCCCTTATGATCCTCATGGGCATTTCTTTATTCTCTTCCTATAATCCCTCCTCCCATTCAAGGACATGAACACTCACATCAGGAACTCGCAATATTAAACATTGAACCTATGTTCCCCAGTGCCTCCCCAAGATAAGATACTCTCTCCAGAGATGTTTTTTTACCTTAGGTTGGAAGCAAATATCTGAGAGTAATTCTTCAAGCATTGGATTGCCTGAGCAAAATGAATATAGGCTTATTACAATTTAGTATCAACCCAGTTGCAGTATTAAGTGCTCTATTCCCACAGCACCAATGCAGTGAACAAATCTGATGAAACCACTTAGCAGAATACTGGCAGCCCAGTTTGAAATACTATATACAGATACTGTATTGCAGGTTACATCCATCCACTTTCAATAACTGAAAGCTGTTGTCATGGTTAAGAATGTAACAACACTTTAGTGCAATGTGCTTCAGACGGAAAAATGTTAAGATTGTGGAAATAGAACATTTCAGGTGACAGAGAAGCATTCCAGACTTAATCTCCTCAGCAGTTTTCCAGTTCTACAACAGGAATCAATATGACGTGACTTCCAGAATGTCAGTAAACCGGAATTATACTGATGTCACATTCAATTTGAAATTAATTCAGTAAGTCCTGCACATATATGGACCCACATATTGCAGTCAAAATTGTGGCCATTCCTAATTGGAGTCATTAATAATACCCGTATCGATAAGTGGAAAATATCTGTTAAAACAAGTCATTATAAACTCATTGTTGAATATCAAAGGTTACAGCAGATAGAATCTTGAAAAATCAGCTTCTGCGAACAAACACAAGTGCCACCATTTAAATATTGTTCAGATCAACGCTAATAAATATGATAGAAATGAATTGCCTTATTTCATATTTTCTTCAATGACCCATCCTTTAGATTACCTCCTGAATATAATGACCTAAATACATTCATGTCTCTTAATCGTTTTCAATTCCCCACTGATTCACTGGAGGGAGCTGTAGCCTTTTCAACTGCAGTATCAGATGAGAAACAACAGTTGAAACAGAAATGGCTATCATACAGGAAACGCTGAACCAGAGAAACTTGCATTGCCATTCTTTAGTGATAAAGAAATGTTTAATTGTAAAAGCTGATTGATTGCGTGAAATCTAAACTGTATTTCACATTTCAATTATGTGACAAATCAGTGATATCAATGGCACTATCTGGTCCAAGGAAAAAAAATGATCTTAGTTTCAAGCAGAAGGTTTATAATAATAAACAGTTTTAAACCCATTGAAAATACATTTCAAGGATGTGTGAATGACCACATAAAATCATTAACAAAAGCTCTCCTATGCTTAAAAAATTGCAACTAATATTGCACCTAAAATATACATGAGGTCTATTTTGAAGTGTTTCTCTTATTTATTTTTAAAGTTTACAGAGCATTTGTGCACTGCAAAACCACTTAACAAATGATACAGGGGGCAAATAGAAGTTACACAAATGTGTGGTACAAGTAAAAGCAATAGTGTAGCAATTCTCATGCCCCTGATAATAATAAAAAGAACGAGATCTAATAATAACCAGAGTGTCAAATAATAATATTCCTTTCATTGCAATCATTTTAACTTTTAGACACAAGCCTCTTCTGGAGATTAGCAGTTGTGCAAACACAGTACATCAATCACAAAGCAGTCTTTCGTGTGCCAATTTTTTCTTGTGAATACAATGCGTCTTTCAGAATGAAACTTTTAGTTAATTTTAGTCTCAAGCATGCATTTTAAAAAGGAGAGGAGGTATTTTACTGTGATAGCTCCTCAACAGATTAGAGTTCCAGAATCCAAGAACATCTTCCCTGACAGACTTAATGATTTTAAAGGTCAGTGGCTAAAAACTTGGGAAGCTTTTTCTCTGTTTTATCATTAACTTAGTAAAAGGTCATTTCATAAAAACATATATGGCACATCTCTTACTCAATCACATTTTGCCATACTTTAAAACATAGGAATATCATATTTACCACCTGAGTAAATTACGTATTGTTGCCCAGGGTCATTTTCTATCTCTTTAGTGCCCAATATGAATAATCACACAGGCACAAAGGCAGGATTTTATACATCTAAAATATGCAGGAAATAAACATTTTCATGCTTATTTTCAATGTTCAAAGATTTGATCCATTACAATTGTATGCTAATGATACAAATTAATATTAAAGTCTAAATTGTCATCTAGCCTGGAATCCCAGCTTACCTGCTGTGATTATTCGTGCGATTCTTAGCCGCTGAGAGATGTTTAAGCATACATGGTCACATAAACACACTCACAGACACACATGCGTAAAATCATGCACACACAAGCACATGGAATGATAGAATTTTTCAGCAAAGATGAAGGTCATTCAGCCAATGTGCCTCTGCCAACTTTCTGTTTAGTCCCACTCCCCTGAATTTTCTCAAGCCCTGTTATACTTGTCAATTATTATCAAATATTTGTCAACTCACCTTTTAAAAGCCCTTGTATTATGGATTCAACTTAAAATGCAGTTTTTGGATGTTTGTTCTAACAACCCTTTGTGCGAAGAAAATCTCATATCCTTTCCCTTTGTTTTAATTATACATGTGTGTACACGTCAAAATGTTTTCTAAACTCTTCTAATATATTGGATCCACATTCTTTAGGGAATCCTGAAGATGAATGAGAACACTCCTAAACTTATAATTCTATTAGAATAGAATGAATTCAGATCTAAATAAAGTCCAGTCAGTCTTGTCTATTTTAAATAATAATAATGATCAATAATAATAATTAAAGAGCACA